ATACGATTCAAATCTAAGTAAAGTATATGTGGTTATCATTTTAAACAGTAAATATTGTTTCTACAATTTTTAAAATATGAATTAGGATGAATAAAATATAAATATATACGATGTTACAATATAAACGAGTAATTTTTAGTAGTATAGTATGCATATAAAAATGAGTAGCAGCTGTTATATAAATACTAGTTATAACACTGTTTTATTAAAAACTTATATAAACAAAAACACGAATAGTATTCTTATGTGTTAATACAGCTAGTTTACCATTGTATCTGTTTTATGTCTACTGTATCATTTTAAAACGACGTTGCATTCTTATTTATATAACATTTTTTTATTCTTATCTCTTGAAATATTAGTAACATTTACTGGTTTTACTTTTAAACGATAAAAATAGTATTACTTACGTGAAGTAGAATACGTGAAAATAATAACTGAATAACCATACTTTCCAGATTAAAAGTATTTGGTTTTTGGTGCCAAAAACGTAATTTTGAAGCAAACAAATAATTAATAGTAAATTGTATAATGTAATACAACTGATAATAACCAAGATACTTAATTAGAGCCTAAAATACAAATGAACAAAATGAAAAGCAAGAATTTGTAAACAAATTTGCTTTATACAATTTGATTACACATTCCCTACAATATTAAAATTTCAGTGTACTATCACAAATTGATAGCATATGCAACAACAACTTTTATCATATAACTTATAAGACGTATCTCAGATTTAAAACGCACAAGTACATTACGATCAGACGCTTGCGCGGCTTTTCTCCAACCGTTATTGAGGTTAGGTTTCCACATGTTAAAACGTTGTATACAAGAACATGTAACACGCTTTGAATCTTTTTCAACGATAGAGAATAAAATTATTTAATCGAGGTACCATTAATTGCATACCTGATAAGGAATATCTTCTCCATCCTTTCCTTGCGTTGCTGCAACGTTTAATGTCACCACACAAAATTCTTTCGCGTCCCAAACGTACAACACGTTGTCACGAATATCTAAAATGTTTCGCGTGTCCTTGATGTTCTTTGGTAAATTAGTTTTCAATTCTCTAAACAAGGTTTTTTCATTTAAACACAACGGATCCGTGTACGAACTCATTTTTGACCGGATTGAGGTTAAAACGGCGCGCAACGAACTACACAACAATGAAGGTTCCTGTTTGAATTAACTGACGTACAAGCAAGCCAACCTTGTAATCACAAATATGGTTGGCGACACTGTCGCTGTATATAGTAACTGATTTATATCTACTGCATCGAATTTAGCGAGCTTTTTACATAATTCGTTGGCATTATAAAAAGATAATGTTATCTATATGTTATTCTCGATGAATTTCGTATAAAAATATTCCATTAGATTTCACTCGTGCTTAATATGATGCTGTATGTGAATCTTAATCGGAATTTTAACCAATAAAAATGCGGACACTCAGTTTAATGGACGTTATTAATAAACATTACTTTATTTAGTAATTCCTATAGTTGTAAGTATTACGATGACAAAATTTGTTTAATATAACATATATGTTTTAACGAATATATATATATATATATATATATATATGATATAGTCGCATAAAGCGGTAGTGTGATTTAAAGAATGAATGTTTATTGAATTTTAGATAATTCACTTTATAGTTCTTTTAAGTATTAGGAAAGTAGAAAAGAGAAAGTATGCAAAGACTTTAAATGCTGTAAAATAATGATACACAGTGATATGGTAGCATTTATATTTTGTTAGTAGGGTGTATAAATTTGGATCATATATTTAATGAAACAATGATTTCAAAACGTAGAACTTACTGTGTATCCTATGAGTAGACTGTCAATATTTGCGACACTGGTGAATTCTATCTATAAATGCATAAATTCTATAGTCTAATAATGAGAAAGTCTATTCAAGTAAAATATTTTGAATCTGAATAATTCTATAATTATTTATATTAATATTTAATATAATTTACATTAATAAATTTACACTTCATTAAAAAGGCAATTATGATCGCTAATTATTTATTCAATAAAGATGTTACTAATTATACGTTTCGTACTTGTAAATTTCTAAGATAATACATATTACTACAATACAATTTGTACATTTTAAAATAATTAGAGACTAAGTAAATAGAGTATTGAAACAAATTTATAAAAATTGTCTTTCCATAACATGTTTTTGATGTGTTGAAGAAACAATAAAGACGAGGTATTATAAAGGAATTGGATAATGTAAAATAACAATGTAGAATAAAAAAATAATATATAAATTTTATTAATGAGCAGTACAAAATATTTCAAAAATGAATAAAAAAAAAGTTCCGAAGTAATTTTTTGATTAAAGACAATCTCGTTCACTTCGAAAGGCCCCGGAGGGATTCGAACCCTCGATCTCCTGTTTACTAGACAGGCGCTTTAACCAACTAAGCCACGGCGCCGCTGAAGTTGAATTTTCTAAATATTCTATATTAGTTGAATTAATCGTTTTTCACTTGTTTTAAGAACTTACATTTATACATTTATGGAGTACCATATACTTCTCTTTATTTTGTAAATTTACTATTATCACTATAAATTTCAAAATATTTACATGTAATGTAACACAGTGCACTTTTAACGCAAATTTTTATTTAAAGTTATTATTATATACCATATTTCAATATCAAGTTAATAGAAAGAGATAAATCATTTTTCGTAGAAAGGGCTTCTTTTTGAACGAATTCTGTATATAGATATATCTTATTATGTAAAATAATATATCCGAGTTTATTTTATTCTTCATAATAATATTAATATAAGCGACTTTTATGAGTAATGAAACGTTATTGCAAGTTAGTATGAATGTTTAAAAAGCAAAAGAAATCGCCCCCGGGTTGGGCTCGAACCATCAACCTTACGGTTAACAGCCGAACGCGCTAGCTTTTTTTTTTTTTTCTAAGTTTATTAATTAACAGTCACATGTACTAATAAACTTGTTGAACAACATGTTGAACAGTCACATAGTGTCTTTGGTACCAAACAAGCTAAAAATAAAAATAACCAAACAGTCTTAAGAAGAAATCGTAATTGGTCGCACGCATACGACTCTCTTAAGAATACAATATTGCATCATTTTGCTAGGTGATATAATTAATTAAAAAGAAAATATATAGTAACGTAACCACTATTCAGTCTGCGTCACCATGAAACGTGACATAAATCTTGGGGAAAAAAATAAGAAAAAAAACCCTGAACCAATAAGGCAAGAGAATAACTGTATACAACAGGGATACTTAAAAACTACCTTAAAACTAAAAACAATAAACAATGGGACAGACCCATAATAAGTCACCCCGACCATAACATTAATAAACCATATCAGGTAAACGATATAACAAGACAACACAGCCATTAAAAATTTGCTATTACAAGTACCGTGAGCTTACTATTTTACGCTCCCTTAGTTCTAACATATGTGGAGAGTCGTCACTCAACCACCAATACTTATTATAATTTAACCTATGGAAATCCATTAAATCTTTATTAGGTAACTTCATGGAATATTTAAACCTATCGCTATTTACGATATAGTCATTGACGCCGAACGCAATACGTTTATCCGCTTTGTTACGCCGCCAGTGAAAGATAAGCGGTACATTAATCGCATTTTGCACAAGACCCATTTTATCACAATAAATAAAGGCTTGTGGGGTGACATATCCAGTATACAGCTGTCTACAGGAAAGCGCCTCATCTTGTATCGATAAGGTTTTCGTCAATTCATTGTTTATTGATGGAAGTGCGCTAAAATAATTTCTAGTGATATAAATTAAAAAAGAGTCAATCCTGGGTATATCAGCCATATTGTAAAGAATTTGATTATTTATAAAATGTTGCCAATCAGTGTCCTTACTCCTGTATAGTTTCAGGCAAGCTCTGAGACATTTCCTCTCGAAAATTCTAATTTTTTCGATAGTGGTATGATTGGTATTCCACCAAATCGGGGCTGCATACGAGATTATGGGACGTACTAACAACATATATATATAATAATTCTAGATTTACTGGTTAGGTGTTTGTTATAGAGAATTCTACTATTGGCTATAAAGGCTAAATTTTCTTTCTGTAGTTGCAATTCTATGTGTTTGTTACCTCTTAATAAGTAATCCAAATGTACACCGAGATATTTCACAGATTTTTTATGAGTGATGGCTTTCTTAATATTCGTCCCAGGGACTGTGGCCGAAATCTGGAAATATTTAGTCCCGGCTTTGGCTAGGGCTGAGAGTCTTGCTAATGGTTTACGGAATAAAATGGTTTCGCATTTGCTAGGATTTAATCTCAGATTCCATGACGTGTAATATGTATTTATTTTATCTACTATTGTTTCTAGCTCAAGCCGTATATGGGCCACTCTATTACCAGAGACATATACTACCAAATCATCAGCAAATGCGATCACCGCAGCCTTGCCCTCTTCGTTGAAATCAAATAATTTAGCCAAATCACTGGTAAATATGTTGAAAAGAATTGGGGAGTTTACCGTTCCCTGCCGTAGCCCCTCCTTTATCAGAAACACTTCCGTGGAAATGTGATGACCATCCCAAGTGTGAAACGTTTTATTGTTAATCATATCCCAAATTAGGAATGTAAGCCATAGGGGAAATTTTTTTTATGTAGCTTGTACAGAAGGCCGTTCAACCAGACAGAGTCAAAGGCTTTTTCAATATCAAGCAAAGCCGCCCCCACTAGTTGACTATTACCAACTTTTAAGTTAATGTCTGCTATAAACTTATGAATCGCATGTGTGGTAGAGAGCTGATGTTTGAATCCAAATTGACAATCAGGTATTATTTTATTACTTTGACAAAAATCTGCTATCTTATTATTGATAACGGCCTCAAAGACCTTACTGAGACTGGGGGTGGGCCTAATCGGGCGATAGCTAGAAGGATCGCATGGGGTTTTGCCTTTTTTAAGGATGGGGATAACTTTGGCCCCCTTTCAGAGTTCTGGAAAATAACTAATGTTTATAGCATTATTAAATAGAATTACTATATCAAATATAACCACTCTAAGCAAATGCTTCAGCACAATAGGAGGGATGGTATCCAACCCGCAAGAGGTTTTGTTTGGTAATTTCTTAAAAATATGTTCAACTGTAGAGGGACTACAGAAAGGAGTTGTTAAATTATCCAGTATTTCCGGATAAACAGCATTATTAACCCTATTAAATTTTGTAAATGAAAAGTTTTCTTCCCTACGAATTAAGAAGTCGCGTTTTAATTGAAGTGAAACACTATCCACAATTTCCTTGAGCCGAGTGTTGTTATTTAAATAACGGGGGGAGTTGATAGACTCATAGTAAGATCCCATGATATTAAGTTTATCTGCTGGGGATGAGAAAATGACATTATCCCCAACTTTTTGATTATCTAAAATATTACATTTACTCCTGTTGATAAGAGTAACATTGTCCTGGCTAATATGTAACTCTTTGATGCCATCATAATTCTTTGCCCTGAACAATTTATTGATCACAGGGAAGAAGGAGTGCGAACGACGGTAATTAATTCTTTTCAACATATTAACCCAGTGACTTTCTATTGCCAATCTAAATTCATTTTTTAAGGCATTGACCAGCACTTTGAGCGTCGATTTAGCTTTTCGAGTAAGGGCCAACTTAGATAGGGGATCTATCACATGCAGATCATGGAGTAATGACACTATGTAACTTTTGTCTTTTTGCAGTTTTCTGATTTTCTGATTTAGATATCTAGCAGTACTATTTATAACTTTAAATTTGGGAACCTTTGCATGAATGGCTTGAACTATAACTCCATTAATCGTGTGAAGGTGGCTATCAATTTCATGGATGGAAAGGTTACGATCAAACGGGATGTCAGATATGTATGATTGAGCAATGAACTTAGCAAATTTGTCCCATTTAGTGGCTTTGAAGTTGAAACGGTGACCGTCATCACTTATGGTCTGCAGGGATAGATAATCATTTAAAATCTCAAATTCCAACGATATGGCTGAATGGTCACTATCATAAGGCAATGTAGACGCTTTACCATTATAACTATTGGCTAACATCAATCTTGAATCAGCAATACATATATCCAAGAACGATTGACTAGGTTTGAAAGTGGGGAGTGCCGGCGTAATTAAGTTAAGCCGATATGTTAAATCGACTTTAGCCTCCCATTGTTTTATAAATTTACCTCTTTGGTTATGGACTCTGTCACCCCACTCTTTGTGCCTAGCATTTAGGTCTCCAGCTAGAATATAATAATTACAACCGTTACTAAGCTTAAGGCCTCTGAAGAGATCGTCTAATTCTGTAATAAATAAGATCCTATTGTCATTAGTGGTATACGCGCTTATTAAAAATATATTATTATTAGAGTTTGTACAGACTCTAATAATAGTGTATTCGAGAATTTCGTTATTAATCGAGGCCGGAAAATTAACTATTTCGTACTCGATGCCCTTCTTAACAAGAATAGCTGTGCCACCACCTTGTATAGCATTCGCTCTGTCAGTTCTAATTAAATTATTATCAGTGAAGCTCATTTTATGGTTAGCATTAAGCTTGGTTTCTGAGAGGAAAACAAAATCATGCTTGTAGGTTTCTAAAAACTGCAATAACTCTAATCTTCTATAGTTAGCAATAATGGAATTAACGTTAATGGCAGCAATTCTTATGTGATTATTTGTAGGGACTGAATTATTCATCTTGTTTGTTAAATATGGAGTTTAAAATAAATTCTATTTTTTCAGTATTAGCAGCCACTTGAGATGCTAATGCCTGAAATTGGACCGTAATGACAGACGAGATTTCGTTTTTGAGGTCTTGGACTGCTGAGGAGTAGGGTGTTCAAAGATCCTTTCTGAAGCCGCAACAGCAACAGAACTCATTAATGGTGTAGACGGTGCAGCTTGTGGATTTTGAGGAGAACCTCTGCGTTGGGTAGAGCACTTAGCCACTTCAGCATAAGAGACATTACTTTTAACAGCCGCTGAAATTCTGTTCACCTTGTTGACAGTCGATTGGAACTGTTGAGCTTTTTGTGATCTTTTGTGAATAATGGCATATTTAATGAATGGGCATCCTTTATATGAGGCTGGATGACCATTTTGCCCACAATTGGCACATTTAAGAACCTCTCTATTACCCTGCGCCGTGATACTACATTTACAAGGCTCATGGTCTTGAGCACACTTAACGCATCTGAATTGTAATTGGCAATTCTTACTGACGTGACCAAGCCTTTGGCATTTCCTGCATTGGAATATCTCAGGTTTCTTGAAGTGTTCCCATCTGATTCTCTGATACGCTAAAGATCTAATTTTAAAAAGTTCGGCTGTTTTGCTATTTCTCGATAACTGTAATAGAAAATGGAATCTCTCCAGCTGAGAAGTATTAAATATGAACTTAGACATATTGATAATTTCCACATTAGGAAGCTTGAGGTCAATGATCTCTTGTTTGATTTCATCTAGGGAGAAACCTCCTCTGATCCCCTTTAAAATAATAGATTTAGGTTTTGATCCTTTGGGGGTGTATGTAAAAAACTGGATTTTTAACTCCGTTAGTTTGCCAGTTAGGCAATTATAATGTTGAATACTATTGGCGTAGATAGTATGGCTGCTGCTGTCTGCTTCCTTAACGAGGATTGCTTCTTTGGGGATGTTAAGTGCCACCGCAATGCTAACAATTTCCCCAAATGATGATTTCACCACATATATTGGTGGTGGCTTAAAGGATTTTTCGGTGTTCGACTTCTCTACCGAAATATTAGTGTTAACTTCAGAGTCCATAACACAATCCTCGGAAAGAGGATGGAATTGGTTTGTGGGATTTCCGTCATTTAATTCGTTTCTATCAACATTTTTGTTTTTTGGGAGCTTGCTCGTTTTCTTCGGAAATTCCCACTGTTCCGAATCATTAATAACATCGTACGATGTCGAGGGAATTTGTGACGCCTCCACCAGGGGCGCTACTCTACCCTGCTTACGCGCCACTTTAAGGTTGGGTTGAACCCTACTTGTCGTAGGTACATTCCTCTCTCTTAAAAATTCCTTATACATTTTATCTAATTGCAAAGAATGCAACTTAGGCGTCTTATTCCGTTTCCTTCTCGCTAACGTATCAGCTGCATTGTTCTCCTTATTTTCGGGGTCTGGAGACAGGCGTCTCTTACCATCCTGCAAAGCCGCCGCCATTAGACCCGGACACGTGCGAGAGTGCCTCACAGCGTATCGGGCCAAAAAAAGGGAAATTTCACCCACTAAACTATACTTAGTGTAAACAAACTAGCTATTATTGACAATGCACCCTTAAACTATAATATTAAGCCACACCCGTGGTTGGAAATAACACTAATAACTGCCGCGAGTCACACAATTTCGATCCGCTCCGTCCTACGTCAGGCCGAACGCGCTAGCCGATTGCGCCACGGACGCTTTTTCTTTCGACAGAGCTTCAAAGTGAAGTAGTGCCAGTTTATTTTTTGTCTTATTGGACGCCCCATAGTTGGCAACTTATCTTACGTCATCCTAGATAAAGATGTTGAATTCACAAATGAATACACAAACCGTTTATAAAATATTTCGCTTATCAACACAACCGTTTCTTATTACGGAAATACTTCTTCTAAGCACACTGGAATTGTAAAATTTTGTAGTTTAGAGTTTCTGAATTTTATTTATTACTAGCTTAATCGTCAACCAAATAGTTATTATAAATCTTAATAAAAAAAATTTCTTTGAATGGAAAATATACGAATTATATTTTCTTATGGTCCCTATTTTCATAATTTTATTGATTTTCATGAATTATAGACATATTCGTTTGATTTAATATTTCACTGTAAGAATATTTCAAATTCATAGCAAAAGTTTTTTACTCCATACGTGAATAATACATATATCGGTTAACATGTTGAGGTTTGTGTTAAGTAGGTTTAAGAAAATCTACTTATGTCAGGAATATAATGATCTTTTTTATCAAACTAGTTCTTGAAGATTTCGTTTAGCAATTAATAAATTATTCATTATAGAAAACTTTTTACATGTTTAACTACATTTTCTTAGACATGCTATTAGACTCATGGAAATCAGATAAGTATCTTATAACGATTCATATTCGTAGCCTGTTAACACCTTATCTAACTTACATACAACAATCACAATACATTGCATTTCACATCGTCTTAATTTTACAATGTTTAATCTTTATCAATGTACATAAATAATTGAGTCGATTCTAGCTTGCATCAAGTTTATCGTAAAAGATAGCAACTCGATCATATGTGACGATTACCCACTTTCCATTAACCTAAACATTGTATCATTATAAAATACTATGTATTTTGAAAACATACAGCTGTAAAAAATCTATTCACACTCATATTTATTACCAGCAATAGATGACACTGTTTTAGTATAATGTTACGTTAAAATTTATTTAGCTAATTACTAGTTAGTTATTCAGCTATACTTTAATAGAAAGTTAAATTTTCATAAAACAATTTGTCATAAATATTTCTAAATTAGAATTACTCTCGAAATAGTATTAATAATTGATAGCAAAACTTAACAACATATAAATACTTTTTATGTTGCGTATATGTATACATACGTAGTTGAAGAAATGTATTGTAAAATGAATGCATTGTTGAGACGAGCTTATGTTAAGGACATCGTAATTTAATTTTGTTCGATATTGGGGAACAAGGGTCTTCTGTGTAGCCATCCTGGCGCTACCCTTGTTATTCCTCTGACTCCACGTTGTCTGGCGCATCCGATCTTTTGGGTTTGTAGACGTTGCGTGGGCTGGGAAAGCGCCCTAGCTTTTGCGTTGGTAGGGCCCAATACCCCACTTTTTAGTTTTCATCGGGTGGAGCGAATTTTCCTGCGTCGTGAACGGGGGATTCACGTCAACCACCGGACGTATAAGATCGATAAGATTCTCTCGAACATTTTATAGTTAACACTCACTTTATAATAAAGTTTATTAACCAGTTGCGCGGTGTGAATTCAGTTTTTTTTCCTTTGGGCAACTTCATCTTACAATTGAAGTGCGAGTGACATTTCGCTGAATATTGTCGAGAACACTCACTCACATGCATAGTGTGATAAATACCTTTTAAAAAAAAAACTGTAGGACAAATGTTTCTTTTAGAAGGAATATGAAAGTTACTTTTTATATTAAAACCTCTACTTTTTTTATTTCTGGACTATTTTAGTTAAATCATATCGAAATCGAAGTTACTATCAGTTTTTTTCTCTTACCCAGTATGATCTCTAAAATTGTGTAACATGTGACCCACATTAATGAAACAGAATGTATACAAACTCATAGTTACTGATCAAAGTGACCATAAATCACAACTTATGACTTCTCTTTGAGGATAGAGTTGTGACCGTATCACAAAAAAGGTTAGTTTCCAGGGCTTGAAACTATTACGATATCGACTTAGGTTCTCGAAGGAGTTATGAAGAACCTTTATTCTGAATAACTTTTATGAACAACCCAAATTTCAGATTACCTATATCAGTTTTATCTTCAAAACTATGATTCACAGAAATATTTGTTTAACCAAAGTTGCACAGTACGAAGAAGGCCATCCGATGGCGTTAATAGTTTTTTTGCAGGTGGAGGTACTTTGGATATTTTAAGATTATCTCTATTTCTTTAAATGGATCGGCATGTTTTTGTTTCCGTAGAATGATAGAGGAGCTTAAACCGAGTTCAAGGACGTATACGTAGGGTCATTGAAGGTCATAGAAAGTAGAGAAAAGCGATAATACTTAAGGTTTACTTCACTGAAAATAAACACTGTTTGAGGGACGCTTTAATAAGTTTGTACAATAAGATAAACATGATAAGAGTAGTATCGTATTGTTCAACCGGGCACGATGTATCTATTTGAAGAGCAAGTCGATATGCTTTTTATTTATAGCAAATGCTAATAAAATTCTGTAAGGGCAAAAAACTTGTGTGCTGAACGATATCCACATGGGTCTCAGGATTCGCGTCGAACATTTAAAAATGTGTATGATAAACTTAGGCAAACCGATAGTTTAAGTGTTCGTAAAAGTGAACGCCGAAAGCGAGTAACAAACGAAGAAAATGAAATCGGTGTGCTCGCAAGTGTCGTTACAAATCCTCATATTAGTTCGCGACAATTTGAACACGAATCTGGCATTAGTAGGAGGAGTGTAATTTCTCATTTTGCACCGTTACAAATTTCATCCGTACCATGTTAGTCTCACCAACAATTGCAGTGGAACGACTTCATGAATCGCGTTAAATTTTGTCGATGGGCTAAACATCAGATCCAAAACAATGAGATATTTCTTAATATCGTCGTATTTATTGATGAGGCAACATTCACAAATCACGGGAATGTTAATTTGCATAACATGCATTTATGGACAGCGGAAAATCCACATTGGCTGCAGTAGATTGAACACCAGAGACAATGGTCTGTGAACATGGCGCGGTATCACAGGTGATAAAATAATTGGTCCTCATTTTATCAATGGAAATTTGAATGGCAATATGTATGCTAATTTTATTAAGGATACATTCGGTCCTTTGCTAGAAGAATTGCCTTTATGTACACGACAAACCATGTGGTATCAACATGATGGATGCCCGGCACGTTATTCATTGATTGCGCCAAGGGAACTCGATGAAAAATTTCAAAATTGTTGAATTGGACTGG